TTTTATCCCACACAGAGAGCATTTTCAACACATTTCGAGCAAAAATCTTTATGGTTAGCAAATTTACAGCTGAGGACTCCGTTACGGCTTGGGAGGGGTAGAAGGTAGAAGGGAAACAGTAATAATTTGGGGGTGGAAGAGAAGAAACGCTGCACAACTGCTGAATGATAATGGCTTGAACCTTGGGAAATAAAGGTTATGGCAGAAAAGGGAGGAATTACAAGGACAGTGTGACCTCTGCATGTCTTGCAGGTGCACAAGTGTTATTCCACATATGCGTGTGTACATAGAGGTATTAAAGATGCATTGTGTTTAAGAGAGAGAGGGGGCACATAACTGAGCCATGGTTTTGCTTACATTTGACTCATTCAAAACCAGGGTAAAGCTAAATTATGTGTAATTCAGAAAATTACCGGCTCCCAAAGCACCCAGTCTGGGTGCCTGGTGTGCCTGGGGGGGGCTAAATGCTCATCCTGGCAGAAATGGTGCTTGGGACTTGGGTAACACCAATGATTTTTCTTCCTAGGGTATGAAATAAGGTAAATGACAAGTACTTCAACACACCAGCTTTCATTAAAGGGCTTCAAGGAACATTACAGCTATTTTTTTAACTCCCACAAAAGCCTAGAAGGTAAGAATTAATTATCTAGGTTTATAACTGTGTAAACTGAGATATAAAGAGATCAACAGTAACAGACCTTTAGAAGAAACCTCAGATAACAAGTTTAAAGTGCTTCAGTATTTTGCTGAATCTAGAATCAAATAACTGGGTCAAAGTCTCACAAGTGAGTCAGACTGCAACTCCCAACTCCCTGTTTCTTCACTCTCTAAACATCGGAACTATATGTGGAAGCCTGAGAAGTAATTTTATATGTGGGATGTTAAATCAGTACTTCTCCTGTCTCATCAATCTCCTGTATTTTGGTACAGTGCGAATCATTTGGTTAAGTGGCACAAATTAGAAAACCCAGAAGAGATGTTAAAAATATTTCTTTTTTTTTCTTTAGCACTTAATTTAAAATCCTCTATTAGAACTAAACAACAGCAAAAGCCACATCACTGGAAAATATTTAGAGCTTATTCTAAATGTAGTGGAAACTTTTAAATAGACTATGCTGGGAATTTGAGGGGAGTAAAAGCTGTCACATAAGGCATATACTTTCTCTTTGCTCATAAGGACTCAAGATATTTTCATACTTCAAATTCATAAGACTGAGTTAGAGAGGAGTTTGAGACATAGTGAAGTTGTGCTTTTTTTAAGTACTAGAGAACATTTTTTCTACCTACGTAAAATGACCTGTAAATTGTACAAAATATGCCTGGGGAGAGGAAAGGGAGGGAGAGAGGTTACTATCAATTTTTTAACCAAGAATAACATATTGCATCCCATTTGAAATAAAAGATACTCGTTCAGACTTAAAATAGCACATCTGCTTGAAAAATACATACAAGGCTCCCTTTGACTGAAGAGGGAAATTTGCCAATAATATTTCATGGGAGTTATCTTCGCATCAGCTTCGGAAAATAAAGACATTTTTACAGGGAGTGCTAATTCAACAATGGAAAGCTAAAAATAAGTCACTCATATGCAAAGAAATTTTACTAGGTTTACAGTTTTTAGATCTATTTTTCAATTTTATCAGATATATGGTTTAGGGATAAAACTAAGGCAATAAGGTCTAGTTTGCAGTGAAGTTAGATGGTTTAACATCACAGGCTATGGCCACGAAAAGAAAAATGATGTCATGAACAACAGTCTGACTGGACTGCACATCAAAAATACTCATGAACAGTGTAAGGATGCAAAAGGTCTTGCACAAAACACAAATCTCTCTTAAAAATGCATGTGTGAATGCAGGAATAGCAGTGAAAAGTAAGTAAATGTATACTTTAAGAGTTCTATGATTTCCCCTGTGTGAAAGGTCTTAGAGGTAAACTGGAAAAGGAACAGAAAATATATTTCTGTTCTTTACTGCCCCTTATTCTCTCCTTAGTTTTAGGGCTCATCCATATGGGGAAATTAGGTAGTAAACTATACTGCGGTGCTATTCATTCCCTGTGTGGACACTCCTTCTCTAGAGTAAAAGTGGATTTTTCTGGTTAATTTATTTTATTTTGAAAGCAGCTTAGGCTATATTGAAGGGGGGGGGGGGGGGGGGGGGGAATACATCCTTACACCCGAATAAGCACATCCATCCAGGGAATTCACAGCACAGCTACTGTGATATGAGTTCAGATCTTGCTTTTTATTTGTACAACCTGCCCTGTAGACAATCCCATTGTGGTGGAAGTGTAGTAATTCAATAGGGATCTTACCAAAGCCTGCAGTGGGGCCAGGAGCCCATCCAGGACCTTTCCTCTCACCTGAAATGCAGGTAGGATGCAGTTTAGGTCCCATGGTCCCTCACTGCCACATCCTGCCCTTGGAGCAATACAGAAGTCCTTCAGAGCCTCTTTGAAAACTGAAATATTAAGTGTTACCCACACGGATACAAAACAACAGATTTTTTCTTTTTCTCACGCTTCATTTTCAAGAGAAATTCTGGCTACAATTTTGTTTATATTAGAAGAAAATTCTAATTCCAGCATCATCACACTGATCAGGAAATAATTAGAGAGATATTTTGTTCCTGCTCGTTCCACGATGTTGAAGGATGGAAAAGCTCTCCTGAAATCAAAATACACTGAAGTAGGATAAAACATGTCGGGGTTATGTATGTATTGTAAGGGACGTTTCCCAAAGCTGCTGAGAGATGGAATAGGCAAAAAATTAAGAAGAATGGAAAAATAACAGTTGTCTTGTAAAATACCACAGTGTACCCTTGGTGGGATTTTATGGAATAGCAACTAGGTTTGCAATCTGCTTAACACCATATATCATAAACACAAATTTCACCCTGCAGTGCTTGCTTTGAAATCTCCCAGCACCCCATCAGGCATGGGGACATGGAGCAACACCACCAAGTGACCCCCACAAACCCTGCTGCTGTCTGACCCATGAGAGACCTTATGGTGAGAACCTCTTAACCAGCGACCACCAAATATTCCAGTCGCACTCATAAAATGAATTGCCTTGAAATGCTAAAAGTATGCCAGAAATAACATAATTCCTTCAAAGTCAAGTTAGTAAGTTAAACCATGGAGACTACTGTCCACTATTATAAATGTACAGTCTTAAATTACCCCAACTGAACCACCTCCGTGAATATCAAGTAATCGTGCCTCCCGACAGCGTGGAGAATTGGAGTTTTCATATCTAAGCTTATTATTCCTAATATCACAGAGACACTTTCCTGAATTGTCCTTCTCCTTCCCAAATTCCCCATCTGACCAGCCGTCTTTCTCTCTCTTGCTTTCACCTGTCAATCATGTTCACAGCTGAAATTTGATTTCTCTCCCAACAGTAACCTTAGATGAAATATTACCATAGGGGTCAGAACTGTCTGAACTTGCCATAAAAGTTCGTTAACTCTTCTGAGACCTGAGAGCTATTTGCTTAAAAGTAACAGATTTTGCTTTTTTCTATAATATGTGAACGTGTAACCACAAAATATTGTAGGGAAGGCACAAGGAATTGTCCCGTGGAGCAGCAGGCTAAGCAAGTCTTGAGATCACAGGTGTCCATCATGGAAAAAGCTTTTGCTTTTATATGGATATATATATATATATATATGTATAACATATATGTATAACAATTATTATATGGATAAGAAGAATGTATATCACTTACTTATACAAATCTAACAGTTACATGTATAAATTACAGGAACCACAAAAGTTTTCCTATGGGATTATTGACATTAGAACCGTTACACTAGGAAAAATGTGATGGAACACGTGCTTCACCTTTGCAATGAAGATACGTACTTGATGCATTTTCTTCAGGTGAATCACGACTTGGCTCTGTTCTTGCAAAAAAGCACATTGCATTTTAAGGTCTCACAAAAAAAAAAAAGTGGTCTGGTTTCCCTCTCATTTACAGTGGTGTAACACAGGGATAAAACTGCTTTGCAGGCAAAATCCTATCTGGGTGTTCCTCAGGAGAGTGAGAGGAGCATCAGGATTAAAATTAACCTTTTTTGGTGCTTCTTGAGAAACCTATTCCTGCAGCCTAAACACCAAGAACACCTCTTGGTGCTATATAACGTAGAGTGTACAGTACCAACTACATCTTCCCCATCCTCACTTATATAACATGAAATAACAAATAATAAAGAATAAAACAAGCCTAATTCCAACAGCTAATAAAATTCGACTGCTTTCTTAATAGCATGTAACTGTTGATCAAAGTGTGGTAGGCTGTAGGGCAGCTTGTGTCCTTAACAAAAATAGGAGGTTTAAAAAAAAAAAAAAACTCACACAGGAATCTGTCATTACAACCTTGGTACTCATTTAAGCCACTTAGTATTTTTTATAGTCAAGGTCAATAAAAATCAGATTCCATGGGAAAAATAAAGTGCCTGTTTTGAGTCTAGCAGCAGAAGGGACTGAAAGTTTAAATTCCCACATTTTCATTAGTGGAGTATATTTTAGTCAATGTTGACAGACCGAATGAACATGAATTTCCAGAGGAACACAGTGCTGTGAATTAAACTTGACTGCAATTTATAAGTACAGAAGGTGCCTAACACAGACTCATGATTTTCATCAAGATCTGAGGGAGATCTTCAGAAGTCCCATCCTTAATCCCCGTAGCTGATGTCTGAACGCTAGCATTTGAAGGAAAAGAAAGAAAACATTTGCAAAGGATTATATATGAGTTGTGGGACACGGGAGAGCTGCCTGGCTGACAAAAGTACAAAGCCCCATCATTACAAATGGTTCTTGTAGGCACCTGAAAGTCAGCCTCATCTGAAAGCCCAGAAAACTGCACCACCGACTGTCACCAGCTCCCCGGGGCTGGACCAAAAAGCACTGTCTTAGCAGCAGAAAACAAAGCAGTTAAAAATTACCACCCCTGCTGAAATATGTCAAACTGCTAATGAAAATGGAAACATACCTTTATTTTTTGTTTTGACCTCAGGTAACAGGATTTTCACATCACCGTTGTAGACGATTCTCTCGGGTACCTAATTTAGTAAATAGATTAAAAATAAAACATTAGAAGGGATTTTTAACATTGTAAAACATGACTGTCATGCCACTATGGTACAGAATAGGACTTTTTACGTGCAAATCCTAAATCAAATTTAGAAAGTCTCGTGTACTGTTCACTGGCTGTGAGTGAGTGAAGGGAAAATTAACACATTTTGAAGGGAAACATTTCTAGCTCACACATTTAGTCTTTACTTCACATTAATAACAGGAGATTCCTGCTGACAAATTACCTTAAAAACACATATTTTTGCCTCACCAGTGAATATCAGCTTCTAGGACTTCAAAGCGTGCAGCTTCCTGCATTTCTCTCTTAATGATTTTTATTAGCTGCACTAATGTAATTGGCAAAATAATAATCAATTTTTGTACACAGTCTATTATTTTCCAGACAGTAGTTTAATAACAAAAGCAGAACTGTCATTTCTCCCTGCAGTTACTCACACTGTACAAATTCATCCTGTCAACACATATTTAAAATCTAATTTAGACCAAAAGAATCACCATAGAGTGGATCCTTGTACAATAAGTGAGATAAGTCAATGAGTCAATCCACATTTCCTAAATATGGGTATTTTTGTGTGTCCCCTTTAGTTAACTTTCTCTCCCTGAGTGTGCATACACAAGCACATACACATATTTTCTAGAAGCCGCCTGCAGGAATGCTTTAGCTCCATCCATTGTAACTATACAGTGTAATCAGAGCAAGGATAAACCCCAAGTCTGATCAGTTTGAATCTGAGAAACAAAAAGAAGACAAACTATAGGCACTTTTTCAGCATTCTGGTTCCAAATCAGCTTTGAAAACAGAAGTCCACTGCACATTTGGTACCAGTTGAATGACCCCTTTCCCTCATCCCTCCCAAAGGTGGGACAGGCGCATTGAAATGGTCCCTGCATCATGCCACTGAAAGCAACAGTTCCTTTTCTTTTCTGTTTTGTTTTCCACTTCTTTCTTTTTTCTTTTTTTTTTTTTTTAATAAAAAAAGGGGGATGGTGCTTCCTTAAATGCAATACTTGGCCCACGGCCCGGGCTCTCTTAAAGCAAATGACTCCTGTAGACCTTTAGTGTCATTTTCCTCAAGACGGCCTCTGCTTTCATGCCAATCAGTGAATCCATCCTGTTATTAATGCATGGGGCTGAGAGGAATAGGTACTCAAGCCTCACACCTGAAGAGCATCTAGAAAGAGATGTGGTCAGCCTGCTTTTAGCAGTCTCAGCCTTTGCTGTGGCCACCCCTGCTCTAAAACCACAACCATTCAGATACATCATAGGAGACCTTAAGCAGGACCTTAATCCACTTTCATGAGAGAGGCACATTGATTCATTTAGCAGCTTTATTTAACTATCAGTTCATTAACAACGGAGTCAAAGAAAGTAAGACAGCACAAAGGCAGCCAGATTTATTAATTAAACACTAAACAGATTTATTAATTCAAGAAGGCTGATCACTTTCCTTCATTTTATCTGACAGAGTTGGTGCAAGAAGAGTTTTACTTGAGTAAGTTTTCTACTCTATACTGTGCTATTTTAAAAGGATTTCACAATAAAGGAAGCTGAAAGACTGTGCACAGTCTGGAGACTGTATCTGGTGTGACATGAATATAGTATTTTAACCAGATTTAATCTTACCGTATTCCCTCCTCTACAATGACTTTGCAGGAGGAAATCCTACGGAAAGGAAAATCTGTTCATCCCACACCACAAAATACTGAATCGCATTGCAGGCTCCAGCAGCTCTTCCTACATACTGAAATGCTTTCATCAGGGAATTTGGAGGCAGTTAAGTTGGGCAGAGGGGAGAGGAGAAAAAAAATACCAGGTCTTGTTTGGTTCACTTTTGTACTCTAAGCTCCAAGTGCTTGAGGGAGCAAAAGGGCTGTTTGCAGTGGAGAGAGCCACGGCTTTAGAAGCTGCTACCACAAATATAACTGATTCTGGCCCCATCCCCTTTAGCATCATGACAGCTCACTGTCAAGGCCTTGGAAAGCACTTCTGTTTCAAAATTGGGGAAGTGGAGAAGTTCAGGCTGCAGGGAAGTGAATCTGCCTGGCTTCTTATAGAAAATGGCTTTAAGCTTAATCACACACACATTCTGAGATACATCCACACAGACTCAGGAAACAGCCTCAGAAAGTGCCACTCTCCATACTTCAGATTCCTCAAAAGACATGAATTGTAAATCCTGCCCACCCCTCATCTTGCTCCCTGCAGAGATCCCAGGGCCTGATGCAAAATGTCATTTAAAAAGCTCCCTTTGAATGAGGTGGGGTTTAGACCGGTCTCCATGTGAGCACAGGTGAAATGAAAAAGTGAAGGAAAAAGGAGGAAAAAAAACAAAACAAAAAAACAAAAAAACGAGAAAAGAAAAAGGGGAGAAAAAAGACGAAAAGAGGAAGAGAGGAGAGTGTGAACAAAACCAAAGGGAAGTGCTCTAGGAACATACCTAGAGGACGGTCAGCCAGCTGAAGCCGCCTGGGTGACACATCGGAGCTAAGCTTTGGATGCAGGGACGGATCCTTTACTTACGCATAGAATCCCCTTTTGTTCCACGCATTGAATTTAGAAACGAACAAACAAGCAAACAAACAAACAAACAATCAAACAAAGGATGCTGCCCTCATCCTTCCCCTTCCCAGACCTGGCCCGGGACCGGGTCCATGTCAGGGTCCTGGTCCGGGTCCCGGTCCTTCCCTCCCGTACCTGGCCGCGGTGGGACGCCGGGGGCAGTCTCACCGTGTGTGTGTGTGTGTGTGTGTGTGTGTGTGTGTGTGTGTGTTTGCGCGTGTGAGCCCCTTCGCCTGCAGGGCTGTGCTGGGGTCGGGAAGGTCCGTGCCCGCCCGTCCCCGCCCCGCTGCGGGCGCCGGTGCTGTCCCTGCTGCCCGCGGAGCGCTGCTCGTCGGGGGAAGATCGGGGGGGTTACACCGCTCTAGACCCCTGCCCGACCCGCGCTATTGCCAGGCTGCCGGAAGCAGGGGTTTGAAATCCGTGCCAGAACTCTCCCAAAATGTGCGTTTCGCTCCCGGCACCGGCAAAAGGAGGGGAGGCCAATGTGTGTCCCCGCGCACCCCGATCCCCGCAGCCGTCGGGGACACCCGATTTCCACACCGAAAACCAAGGGACGAAGGGCAGGGAGACGCCTGAGCTCCCGCTGACACAGGGTGTTGAGCCTTAACGCCTCCGTGCGCAGCCATTGACATTTCTGCTTAACGGGGGACAGGCTGCTGAGAGCGTTCTTCAGGACTGTGCTTCTTTATAAATTAACAATTGAGAGCAGCTACCAGGGACACTCCATTCCCTACCCCCGCTGGAAACTTGGAGACACTGCTTGATTTTGTTGGTCGCTGGGTGTTTTTTTCAATGTGTGGTGCAGAAGCACCACTTCTAGCAAACTTCTGCTCTGGTTTTGACTTCCCTCCCTGCAAGGTATCTTATAGAGATGAATTTTAAAAAAAGTATAAAAATAAAGTAAAATAAAGGAAAGCATGTCACAAAGTTCATAGGGCTTCAAACCAAGCAAGGGAAGAGGCAGGGCAATCTCCATCCCTGAAACCCACTGCACCACAACTAGAAGCCTGCATGCTTTGTTGCTGCAGAAGTGGCACGGGTGTAAAAGCTAGACTTCGGTGGGAAGAACAGTGGGTACAGCAACAGTGAAAAAAAATTATCATTTCAGAGAGCAGTTAGACACAGGCAGCTTGCATCAAGGGCACTGAGATGTTATCACACTGTGCCTGGTCAACCTGATACGGTGGTAGATAGCCGGGGCTGGAGCTGCCTATCTGCCATTATACCCGGCTACAGCCTCGCCGATCCCTGGCCTTTTGCTTCTCACTTGAAAAGTTAAGTCACATCCTGGACTATTTTTGCATCGTGTTGGCTTTGAGCTCACAAATCTGAATGCACTCAGCCCTCAGAGAGTGACAAATGTTATTCACGGTCCTCCCCCACAATTTCAGGCAGTCAAGAATTAGATGCAGCAAGAATGTACAGTATTTTAATCTATTGATTTGTATCTGCTGCCCCCCAAAAAATTCATTAGAGGAGCCATAAGAAGTGTGAAGTGGTTGAGTGCTCGGCTCTCCCCCAGAAAAGATGAATTCTCTCCACAGCCACTCACCTCTGCCACGTCCTGGGGTGTGCTACCTCTTGTTACTCATACCGAGACCTGCACTTCAAACAGATATGTGAAGCATTTGACTACAGACAGCTTGAGTGTGTGTGTGTGTACAAGCAGGACCGGGCTCTGTCCTGGCTGAGCAAACAAAATCTATCCCATTCTCCATAGCTGCCCCTGGAATGCCCAAGCCCTGTGGCAGCCGCTTACAACACAGTGATTTGGAAAGAGGAAGGGAATAAAGTTTATTGAAAAATCTTAATTCCTAACACTGAAGTATGTAGGATTGTTTTCTTTCTTTCCCCTGCGTGAAATTTTAAATTCAGCCATCTGAACAGGTGTCAGAAACAGTGGGTCCATTTAGCTCCTCTGATGATCGCAGTAATAAATATAGAGGATTTCCTTTCAATGCAGCATATGCTGAAATGACACCAATGTAGTTCTGGCATCTGAGCAGATAATTCTGATATATGCATCATTTCCTCCCTAAATCCAGGAAGCAGCTACACTCTCTATCTGATATTAGTATATTATGTCAAATAGAAATTGGTATTAAAATTATGAATGATTCTAGATAGAGAACTTCCTACACACTATGCAGAGGGAGGGAGAGGAAACAGCTGCGCAAAAGCTTTCAGAAGGGGGAAAGGGGAAAGAAAAAAGAGCTGGGAAAGTTTATGTTTTAAACTGAAAATTTACTGCCATGTTTCGCGTGGGGGTAGTTTTCAAGTGGCATTTTGATGCAGCACGGGCCGTTTTGTGTTAAAAGGATGAAGAAGACTTTCTAATAAATAGAAGGTCTCGGCGCTCCGTTTGCAAATGGGCACTTCCCGCACAGTGCCTGCACAGCGGTGGTG